CACAACTCAGTGAGATTGGTGCTGTCGTTATCTTTAATTCAGACAAACCGAATTGCCAAAATTACCTAAGCACAGAGTCCTGGAGTCTGTGCTTAAGCCTTGAGAATTAACTCTATTTTGATGTGACATTAACTCTATTTTGTTTGCTTTCCTTCTCCCTCACTAAGTTCCTCTTCTCTTGGATCTGGCTTGGGCCTGTGAATCTGTCATAGCTTCATGTAGTGACAAGTGATAGCTATACAAGAAGATCCAAGTGTGACTGTAGCTCTCCAGTTTCTATCTCAGTTGGTCTATCTCTGTATCACAGACATGCCCTATACTTGATATTCCAAATCACTCCTTTGCCAGGAATCCTGTTGCCATTTTTCCTCCATTCATCCATAATTGCTTGAGGAGCAATGGCAGAAAAAGGGGTGAGCTACTACCACTGGACCATCCTCTCAGGACAACTTTGGCAGGTGTTTATATTATCTCTTCTAGACTTCCTACACCAGGAGAGGCCTTCTGCTTCTCAAATGTCTGCTTAGTTACACTGCTATCATAAAACATAAAGGCTCTATCCAGAGCACCCACAGGTTTTAGTGAATTCTAGGAGAGATTTGCAGTGAAAGAGTAGCTTGGCAAGAAATGCCACAAAAATTACACCATGCAACAGATGAGCTAGAAACCCGGGACAACAAAAATTCCCAGGAATCTATGAGAATAACCCTAGCTAAGACTCCTGGCAATGGGAGAATGGAGCCTGATCAGGCCATCTACTGTAGCCAGGCAAGACTTCCAATGGTGGAGGAATTGGAACACCAACCCAGCCACAAAACCTTAGGCACAATTTGCAGTGCCTACAGGATGTGCAGGGGTGAAGCAGTATTTACAGGAAGGGCTAACCAATGACTGACCTAGCTTGAGACCCATACTATGAGAGGGATCCCACTGCACACACTATTGATGATATTCTGCTATATGCACCTAGCACAAATGTCATCAGAGGGACTTCACCCAGCAACTGTTGGAAGCTGATGCAGAGACCCACAGCCAAATGTTGAATAGAGCTTAGGGAAATCCTGTGAGAACTAGAGGAGTCAAGGATACCACAAGGAAACCTAGAGTCAACTAACCTGGGTCCATGGAGGCTCATGGAGACAGAACTTCCAGAGAACAGGAAAAGGACATCCCTGGACCCTCTTCACATATGTAGCAGTTGTGCAGCTGGGTCTTTATGTGGGACTCCTAAAGCAGGGGCTGCCTCTGACTACATTGCCTCACTGGAAGAGGGCATGCCTAGTCTTGCTACAACTTGATATGCCAGGGATGGAGGGAGGGGAAGCTGTGTTCGGGATGTAGAGTGAATAAATAACTTAGTCAACAAAACAAAGGAGAGAGAGGAGAGGAGAGAGAAATAGAGAAATTTTGTTGATGACCAAGATTGAGGGCATGCCTTGTAGAGCTCTGGTAGGTGACCCTAAATTGCCAGACCTTAGCTACAAAGCAGGTAGGCTTACCCTAATGGAAGCCAAACTAAGAAAATTCACCTCTCTTACAGCCCCACCAAAGGCAAGTTTCTGGAGTCAGCAAGGCTTGTTAGAGGCTCCTCTGTGAGTAGCTGAGATGTGAGGTGGGGGAGGGTAGACACACAGATTGGGGATATTCTCCTAATTGACATTTCTTGTTTCTCTATTATTATGTGATAATAATATGTTCCTTCAGAAGTTCCTTGGTTTCACTGAGATAGAAAATGAGATAGTCCAAACAGCTTCCTTCTTATGTCTGGTTCAGCAAAGGAAGCTGGCGATCTGGACTCAGACTCTAAGCCGTCCATGTGTGTGGTTTCATCAGCATAGTGAACTGAAGTTCCTAGGAGGGAAAATAGCATACCTGTGTAAAGATTCCTCAAGACTGACTGATTGGTTGATTGGTTGATTGATTGATTGATTGATTGATTGATTGATTAGAACATCTCTGACTGGAGAGAAAAGTTACAAGTCTAGGTCTAAATAATATTGAGCAACTTTGCGCCTCTTAATAGTCATCCGTTGCCTTCCTTTGTGTTTGTCCTAACAGCTATCCTTATGACTATTAGATAAATCTTTCTGGAATGTACTGACAGACCCCTAGCTTCCAGCAATGCAAAGGCTAAGAATGCAATCAGCTGTAGTCTATAGCAGAGACTTCTCTACTTTGTTGTTTATACCAATTGATTTGAAAGGTGTCTTGATTTACAATAGTCTTTGTTCTCTTATTATAAAAACTTCATGACACTGTTATCACATTGGTATTTGGGGTGACCTGATATCTAGGTTTCCAGTCCATAGTCACTCATATTAATCTCCAGAATAAAATGCTTTTCATTCTCTTTGAAGTGAGGGCTGTGCTTTGTGTCAACAGTGTCCTCACAAACATAGTGGCATCAAGCAGATGAATTTGTAAGTGATGGCCTAGAGCACCAAGATATAATGTTACAGGAAATGCAGATAGAAACTGTAAGGCTTCTAATAACCTATAATTCTCAGAATGCCCCTCTTACTGCAGTATTGGTAAAGCAAAGCATTGTAAACAGCTTAGATTCCAGGAGAATGGAATTAGATCTCGAATCTCAATGGAGGGGTGGTAAAGAATTTCCAACAATGGGGCAACAAGAGGACACAGTAGACAAAGATGTTTACAACCAAGCCTGAAGATCAATCCTTGGGTCTCACATGGCAGAAGAAAATAATAGACTTCTACAAGTTACCCTTTAATTTTTACACATATACCATAGAACACGCATGTGCACACACATGCATGCACATGCACACACACATACAGATGCAATAAAAAAAAAGCAAAGACTTTTAAGATCTCATCATGTTTAATTTCCCACAGTGCAGTGTAGCAAGGAAGCCTATGTGTTACTATGAGAATTTTACTCTATACATTTATGTTGAGCTCTTGAAGATATGTGCCATCCATGGTCCTATGCAATAAAGACATGCATACATGCATACACATACAGACACAGAGGGCAGAGAGGAGAAGTGAGTAAGACAACTTCATGAACAATATGCCATAGAAAGAATAATCTAAAATAGTTACACTCTGACTGGCATATGATTAAAACTCAAAAATATTGGCTGTAATTCATATACAAAATTTGCCATAAACTCAGCCAGTGGCTTTGCTGTCTAGTTTTGGTCAATTTGATACAAGCTATAGTCATCTGAGAGGATGGAACTTCAACTGAGAAAAATGCCTCCATAAATTCTGGCTGTAGGCCAGACTATAGACATTTTCTTTATTATTGATGGATAGGAAAAGGCCCAGCCCAGTATGGTTGGTGCCATCCCTGGGCTGGGATCCTGGGTTCTATAAGAAAGCATGCTGAGCAAGTCAGAAGAAGCAACCCAGGAAGCAGCACCCCTCAATGGCCTCTGCATCAGCTCCTGCCTCCGGGTTCCTGCTCTGACTTCCTTCAATGATGGACTATCAAATGAAAATGTAAGTCAAATAAACTCTTTCCTCCCCAACTTGCTTTTGGTCATGATGTTTCATCACAGTAATGATAACTCTAACTAAGACAGTGACATTACCCCTATAATACCAGCATGTAGGAGAGAGAGAGAGAGGCAGTGTTAGCAGAGAACGTAGGTCCCTTTTGCTAGTTCTTAGCCTCATCGATAAAAGAACTTAAGAAGATTTGAGAACAGTTTTAGGGTTTGAGTGGAAAAACAGCAGGGCAGCAGCATTGTAACTTCCAATGGACTCAAAAAGCCATGCTATTTGAGTTAGAGATCGGGAAAGCAGGCAGCCTCAACAATAGAACTTGGCAAGAAGCTACAGGGTAGGGTAGAGGAATCTTTAGAGAGTAAGAGTAAGAATGTCCAGAGGGAAGTGAAAAGAAGCTAGGGGCCCTTTCCTCTTTTTCCCATAAGAAATGGTAAATAGTTTGTTTGCACTGCATACTGTGCTATATAGAAGTTACTGTGAAAGTCCTTTTCCTAACTAGCACCCTGGACATTGAGAGCTAAGACCTTCTTAAGTCAAACAGCAAATTCAATGAGTACAGATTGAAATCTAGAAGATTTGGGATTTTTTAATATTTATTTATTTTTATGTGCATTGGTATTTTGGCTTGCTTGTATGTCTGTGTGAGGGTGCCGGATCCCCCGGAACTGGAGTTACAGAGAGTTGTGAACTGTCATGTGGTGCTGGGAATTGAACCAGGTCCTCCGGAGGGTAACCAGAGCTCTTGACTTCTAAGCCATCTCTCCAGCACAGACTGGAGGTTTAAACTCAAACATCTCAGCTGAGAGTCTGGGTATTCATTATTTTTTCACAAAGAATGAACAACCTGGTGTGATGTTTCAGGTTCTGCCCACTAGAAGCAGTTTCTCTTATACTTGTCCCTTGGTAGAGGCCCACACAGAAGTTGCCTTACTTGAGTTGATACATTTTGGTAAGTTCCTGTGTTTCATGCAGACTCAATCTGGAAACCAAAGACCCCTGTGAATTCGCCACAAAGTCAGGCCTAAGTGCTATCCCTAGCTCTCCCAACATGGCAGCAGTATCTTTTATTTGGGGATTATTTGTTTGAATGTTTAGACAGGGTCTCACTGTAGCCCAGTCTGGCCTTCAGCTAACTGTATAGATAGGTTTACCTCAAATTCTGATCCTCTTACCTCTATCTCCTAAATTACTGAGATTACTGGGAATGTACCACCACACCTAGAAAGCAGCACTGCCTTTGATGTGACAATATGGCTGCATCTGGTGCCCTTTTGCATCACACACAGAGTCATGTCTCTTGTTGAAGTTGATTAGACCAAAAAATCCCCAATCCATGACTAAACAGTGTTTTAGAGCTTTACACTTTAGACTATAGAGCCTGTGTGCAGTTCATACTGAAACCAAACATAAGGAAACATTAAAAAAAAAAAAAAACTTTAGCTCCAAAACTTCATCTTTAGTGAAGAGGAAGTTTGAGGCCAGCCTAGACAATTTAATAGAACCTGTATCAATCATAGGGTTGTTACCTATGTGAAGCTCCAGCACTGGGAGAACAAAGGACGCACAAAGCATACAGACTTGAAACCGTGACATGGACTCAGACTCAGGTGAGTTCCTTTGCATACATTTTAAACGTATATTTGCTTCTTCTTTGAGTAGCCAGCATCAGGGTTCTGAAACTTTGGTGGTCACCAAAACCACTCAGCAGGCTAATAAAACTTAAGAGTTCTGAGGCTTGCCTCTGAGACTCAGATTCCTTCTATCTGGGCTTTCCCAAGAATATGAACTTTTATAGAAGGCAACCTAGGTACCTTTCCTTGAATAGAACAGTTATATGTTTTCCTTGCTGAAAGAAATGGGGGTGTTTGACTTCAAGTTGCTATGTAAGTTACTATTTTTGTTGGCTGAATAACTTAAAACTATGGTTCTCAACCTAAATTATCTCTTGGGCCAAAAACTAAATCACTCCCCTAGAGTTGAGATAAGTCATGGACATGGTGAAAAGGGAGAACAATGGAAAAATGGGGGCCAAAATTCTAAAATATATTAACATAAAATAACTTTATTTTAAAGAATTCAAGCAATTTTCTTTATGCCGAACAGGAGTGACCATGACCCAGTTCGTGGAGTCAAGTTATCTTGAAAGACCTGATGTCCTAGGGACAAAGATACATGATATCTTACTTTTTTGAGACAAGTCTCACATAACCCAGATTGACCTCAAATTCACTGTGTTTCTGAGGATGGCCCTGAGCTCTTAATTCTCCTGGAATATGCCAATACATCAAGCTTTTACATGAACTTTTACAGTCACAGAACAAAAGTGTGTCATAAACAAAGGTCTTGACTAAATATATGGTTGTATCCTCAGGTAGGCAGCTACAAAAGGACATGGGGATTTCCTATACACATCTGACTGAGATGGTGTGGCCGTCTCAGCATAACACATATGCTCAATCCATGGTTGAGCTATTACGTTAAATACAGATGTAATAGAAAGTGGCTATTACATCACTACAGTTAACGTTGGCTCTCATTTGCAGCACCCCGTCTCAGCACAATCACAAAACTCTTTGTCCCTAGACTCTTTGTCCCTAGCAAGTCAAGGACAAAGAGTCTTTGGGCTCCAATACACAGAGAACTTCAGTTGGCCACTTAGTGAACTGGAATTCGCCACCCATCTCCTTGGAATCCCAAGTTTTCCTAGCACAGAACAGAATTACCTCCAAATTTTCCATGAAAATGGAGTGGTTTTGTGGATATCCAATGTCATTTTTGTTTCTAACTTGTCGAAAGAGAATAGATGTTAAACTTCGTCAAATACTTTTTCGCTTTAACAAAAAAAAAAAAAAAAAAGATAATGTAGGTTTTACTTTTGTTCTGTTAATGTGGTGACCTAAATTGTTTAACATTCAAATATTTACGCAACTTCACGTTTCTAGAAAAAACTTATCTAGTCATGTTATGATATGTTCTAAAATGTATTAGTGGGGCCAGAGAGATGGCCAGGAGACAACGGTGCTCGCTACCAAGCTTCAAGCCTGAGTTCTATCCCAAAATGAAAAGTAACTTCCAGTTCTTCCCAGGCTGGCTCAGTGGTTAAGAGCACTGACTGCTCTTCCAGAGGCCCTGAGTTCAATTCCCAGCTACTACATGGTGGCTCACAACTATTTGTAATGGGGTCCAATGCCCTCTACTAGTGTGTCTGAAGACAGCTACACTGTTCTCATATACATAAAAAATAAATAAATCTATAAAAACAAAAAAATCTGGGCAATGGTGGTGTACACCTTAAATCTCAGCACTTGGGAGGCAGAGGCAGGCAGATTTCTGAGTTCGAGGCCAGCCTGGTCTACAGAATGAGTTCCAGGACAACCAGGGCTACACAGAGAAACCTTGTCTCGAAAAACCAAAAAAAAAAAAAAAAAAAAAAAAAGCAACTTCCACAGGTTTTCCTCTGATCTTCAAATGCATACCATGGCAAATATATGATGCATATACTTATAAATTCAAATAAACAAATAAATAAATAAATGTAATAAATAAATACATGTAATTTATAATTTGGAAAGGTATTTGTGTTGAGGTAAAGCTGTAGCTCAGTTGGTAGAGCATTTATCTAAAGTGGACAAAGTTCTGGATTTAATCCCCAGCGCTGAATAAACCTGGTGTGGTGACACAGCCCTTGAATCTTAGCAGTTTCAAAGTAGAACCAGGAGGATCGGAAGTTCAAGAGCCTTGGCTTATAATGAGTTAAAGCCCAGCCTGGTTCAAAAAAGAAAAGAGAATTTTTGTGTCTATATTCATGAACAATATTGCCCTGCAGTTTTTGTTTATTGTAAGTTTTTCATCTGATTTTGGAATCGTGGGTATACTTGCCTTATAAAGCAAGTTGAAAAGGATATTTTTTTCCTCAAATATTTGAAAAAAATTCCTAGCACTAAGCTCTGCCTCCCTCTCAGGGGCAACACTTCAAATGTCAATTCAGTTTTCTCAGATATCACTGGCACATTTATATTTCAAAGATAACCATTTGAGCAAGACACATGGGCAAAATATGGGAACTTTCTATCTTTCTTCCTTCTGTTTGTATCTCTCATATTCTAGTATTTTTAGTTGCCCTAAACATGACTGTCTGGTTCTTCAAAACAGAAAAAAAAATGCACTATTTGTGTAGCTTATTTCATTTAACAGAATGATTTCAAATTGTACCCATTTCCCAGCACATGTCTTAATATAATTTTCTTTATGGATGAATAAGGCTCCATTGGGTTCCTCCTTAGTTACTGTTTGTTTTTTGTTTTGTTTTGTTTTGTTTTGTTTTGTTTTGTTTTGTTTTGGAGACAGGGTTTCTCTGTGTAGCCCTGGCTGTCCTGGAACTCACTCTGTAGACCAGGCTAGCCTCGAACTCTCGAACTCAGAAATCTGCCTGACTCTGCCTCCCAAGTGCTGGGATTAAAGGCGTGTGCCACCACTGCCCGGCTTCCTTAGTTACTGTTTTGTTGCTGTGAAGAGAAACCATGATGGAGGCAACTGGAAAGCATTTAGTCGGGGACTTCCTTGGCAGTTTTAGAGAGTTATCTCATGATCATCGTGGTGGAAGTAGACAGGCACGATATTGGAGTAATGGCTGAGAGAGTTTTACATTCTGATTTATAGGCAGCACTCAGAGAGGAGGAGGAGAGACAGACAGACAGAGACACAGAGAGAGACAGAGAGGGACAGAGACAGAGAAACAGAGAGGGATAGAGACAGAGAGACTGAGAGACTGGGCCTAACTCATGCTTTTGGAAACTCAAACCTTACTCCCAGTGACACACCAACTCCAACAAGACCACACCTCCTGACTCTTTTAAACTCTTCCACTACCTGGTGTCTAAGCACTCAAATGTATGACCATATAGGGCCTCTCTCATTCAAACCACCCCAGTATACAAGCCACTGTTTCTCTTTATCAGTTGGCATCAGTTGGCAGATAACCTTTGGCTTATTCTGAATAGTGTTATAAAAAATATAGATGTTCAGATATCTCTGTGTCGTGTAGACTTAGAGATCTTTGGATATATACCCAGGAATGAGTCATGTGGAGGAGGAACCTCTATAATGACTTCCACGGTATAAACCACTTCACATCCCACTAGCAGTGAAAATGGTTCCTCTTTCCCCACACCCTCACCACCATTTGTTGTTTTCATAACAACAGACACTCTGACTTGAGGGATAAAATATCAATATGGTTTTAATTTTCATTTCTCTGATCCCTAAAACTGTTAAATATCTTTTATGGTTTTGACCATTTGTACTTCATCTTTTGAGAACGGCCTTTCATCTCATTAGCCCACTTATTGATTGAGGTTTAAATTTTAATTATTAAATATTCTTTATATATTCTATTATTAACCTTCCATCAGATGTATAACTAGCAAAGGTTTTCCCCTTCTGTAGACCATCTCTTCATCTGATTGCTTCCATTGTTATGCAGAAGCTTTTTAATTTCATGAAGTCCCATTTATCTATTCTTGTATTATTTTCTGAGCTAGCGGACTCCTCTAAAAGGAATCCTACGGCAAATATTGAAATGTTTTCCTCTAAAATTTTCAGAAGTCCATGTCATACATGAAAGTCTTTAGTCCGCTTTGAACTGGTTTATTTTGCGGTCTAGTTTACTTTTCTGCATGTGGATAACCAGTTTTCTCAGTACAATTTGTTGAAAAGGGTGACTTTTCAACATGTATGTTTTGACATTTTTGTCAAAAATCTAGTAGGTAGCTAGAGCTGTGTGGGTTCATTATCTATTCCACTGATCTGCATGTCTTCTTTTTTTTTCCCAGAACCATGATGTTTCATTATGACACAAGACATTTTTAAAATAAAAAACAAAACAGAAAGCCCTGGCTGACTTCAAACTCATGATCTTCCCAACATAGTTCCCGAGTAGCCAAATTATAGGCATTTACTACCATCCCCAGCTTATTTCAATTATAATATTTGAGAAACTCAGGCTATTTCTCTAATTATCTTGCTCAAATAATACAAGAGCATAGGACTTTTACATTTCAGTCTTAAATGCTCAAGCTTCCTGGTCTTATAATGCTTTCACTAGGCCGAACCACCCTCCTATCCTAGAAGTGGAGATAGATATATCTTACAGAAAGTTCCAGGATCACAGGGAATTACAATGGTATATAGACACAGTACACACACACACACACACACGCACACACACACACGCAGCAGGTGATGAGAGCTCACTTATCTCGCTCAGATAGCTACTGCTTTAAGTTTTCCATTATCTTCCTCATACAGCCCAGTAGCTCCAATGACCTGTCATAATGAAAATTCCATCTCTTCCAGTCATTTCCTCATCCTTCTCAGCTTGGGTAACACCCAGTTACCCAAGAAAGTTGAATAAGCTTGGCTCACAACAGTTTTCTTAGCTACTTTCCTCCTTCTCTGCTCCAGACACTTGCTTCCCTCTCTAAGATTTGTAAACAAAACTCTTCATCTGCAGAACCTTTCTGCTGTAAAGAGTTAATTCTCTGTGTTAGCCAGGAATTGATCTTCCAGGATTTTCATCTGTGGCCTTGGAATTATTTTGCTTTGTCTGTGGTCACACTTTTTCAGGGTATCATAAGAAAGAGAAATTCCTTTTTCAATGAAAGCCTGCTATCAAGACCTGTGCAGTTTATGAAGAGAAAATAAGAGAGAATAGAGAAAGTGAGAGGAGACAGAAAGGGAGGGGAGGGAGAAAGACAGGGAAGACAGAACATTCTCTAGATATTTATTGAATAACTGAATGAATGAATCTGAGAACTTGAGCCCGTTTATATATAAGAAACTAGGGCTCAGAAGGATTAAAAATTTTGCACAAGGGCACAATAGTGGGGCCCACTTTGATTTCAAGTCCTTCGGTCCAGTTCCACTTCTCTTTTCTCCTACACCTACTGTGAACCTATCTTAAGACTTCTCAATGCTAGTCTACCAGGAGAAGAGAGGTTTGTGACAGATATAAATCAATGCTGTGTGTCGTTGGTCAAGAAAGTTTTTCTACGGGGAAAAAAAATGTTCCTTAATGACTTTATATAGTGGCCCAATTCTCAATCTTGTTATAAACAGTTCACCAGTGGAATCTGGCCCATGGACTTTACTTTTTTGTAGCATGGATGTTAATGATCTCTATTGCAACCATGTGGATTTAAACCCAACATGTCTATCATTTCAGATGCTCTCAGTATCCCTGCCTCCTGGGTCCAGATGGAGTCCTCTACACTCTTTTATGATTATCATGATAATCTGAGTCTTCTATGTGAGAACAATGCCATCTTCTTTTCCACCATCTCCACCATTGTCCTCTACTCTCTGGTATTTCTCCTCAGCCTGTTGGGTAACAGCCTGGTTTTGTGGGTCTTGGTGAAGTATGAGAACCTAGAGTCACTCACCAATATCTTCATCCTCAACCTGTGTCTCTCAGACCTGATGTTCTCCTGCCTACTGCCTGTGTTGATCTCAACACAATGGGATTGGTTTCTAGGTGACTTCTTCTGCAAGTTCTTCAACATGATCTTCTGCATCAGCCTCTACAGCAGCATCTTCTTTCTTACTATCATGACCATCCACCGATACCTGTCTGTAGTGAGCCCCATCTCCACTCTGGGGATCCATACCCTCCGCTGCCGTGTGCTGGTGACCCTATCTGTGTGGGCAGCCAGCATCCTGTCCTCCATCCCTGATGCTGTCTTCCACAAAGTGATTTCCTTAAGGAAATGTGATTATTCCGAGTTTCATGGGTTCATGGCCTCAGTCTACCAGCACAATGTCTTCTTCCTCCTCTCCATGGGGATCATCCTGTTCTGTTATGTACAGATTCTCAGGACCTTGTTTCGCTCAAGGTCCAGACAGAGACACCGAACAGTCAGGCTCATCTTCACCATTGTGGTAGCATACTTCCTCAGCTGGGCTCCCTACAACCTCATTCTCTTCCTGAAAACTGGAATCATCCAGCAGAGCTGTGAAAGCAGACAGCAGCTGGACATTGCTATGGTCATCTGTCGCCATTTGGCCTTCTCCCACTGCTGCTTCAACCCAGTGCTTTATGTCTTTGTTGGGGTCAAGTTCCGCAGACACCTAAAAAGTCTCCTCCAGCAGGTCTGGCTGTGCCGGAAGACATCCAGCGCTGTTCCATTCCCCGTCTCTCCTGGTACCTTTACATATGAGGGCCCTTCCTTTTACTGAGAGGAGAGGATGGTCACATGGAGATGACTGGGAGAACTGAAGGAAGACAAAGAGAAGTGTTATCAGGAAGAAAAATATAATAGTGAAGATACCAGCAACTACTGCAGAAGTGTGGAGGAAAGACCTATGGAAAAGTGGCTTCCATCTGGGCAATCCAACGCTACACTTCCTGCTCTGCTACACTTCCTGCTCTCAGTTCATCATTCATTCTCTTGCTTAGACACAGATTGCTTATCGGTGATTAGTCAGAAGATCCTAAGTGGAAGGGTTTCTGGACTTTGGGAGGGCTTGAAGTTAATACTATGTGCTAACTGTGCAGTGAGGTTGCTGGCACATAGGGTTGTCCCAACCTATTTTTTTTTCACCTTGGTGATGGCTGACTCTGTGGTTCTTAGCAGCTACTGGAGAAAACTGTCTTCAGGACAAGAATAATCACATCTTCAAACATTGTACAGTCACAGTGAAGTCTAGACCATAAAATCCCACTAAAATGAAGAGAGTTTTGTATTCTGGCAACAGCTGCTAACACATAAACTGGCTTTTAAATATTTAAACTGGCTCATAACTGAAGGAATGAATGCAATATATGCTACTGTCTGCACTAAGTAATTATTTGGACAATACGAAGATGAATAAGATATTATTGCTAACTTCCAGTAGCCACCAAGCCATCCAAGAAGGTAAAGATAAGAAAAGTCCACTTAACAGAGGCATTCAGGCTGAATATTCCTCTGCCATTTCATCTCTTCCAGATTGAGAGAAAGATGACCTCCTTCTATCTGTACCAGCACCCCCCTTTTAACTATTCTTCAGAGCTAAATTCTCCTTAAGTACCGCATTCCCTTTCCCTAAGCTTCCAGAGCCAGGTCCTATGAATTCTGCCTTTCCAGCATCTCTTCAGCTTACTCTCACGATCACATACCCTTGACTTCATCTCTGTATTGTCCTCTGTCCATAGTGTCTTCCTTTTGCTTCTTTTTTTCTCTGTTCCATCTTCCTCCTCCAGGAAGCCACCTGCCTGAGATTGTTCTTTTATTTACTGCTTCTCTGTCTGGGGTTTTTCTTTGAAGCTTTAATAAAATTGTCCTCAAGCTTCCTTCTGAGTTACTTCTTTAATTCTTTTATTAATGAAACTAATAACCCCAAAAGAGGACCCAGATTTCCCTGGTTAATATAAGGTGAATCCATCAGAATGCTCCAGAATTTCAGGTAACATCATTACCTTTGGGGCAGTTCAGACTGTTATGTCTGCATCCAGGGCAAGAGACAGAACTCAGATCCTGTTCTTTCAACCAAAACTAAATAAATAAAAACACATAGTAGATTTTAAAGAATTAATGAAAAAACAAAAGCCATAAAATAGCTATGGTTTACCCAGAAGAAGTAATTTTCAAGTGGATAGAGAGATGGTTCAGCAGTTAAGAGCACTGGCTACTCCTCCAGAGGGCCTAACTTCAGTTTCCAAAGTCCACATAGTAGCTCACAAATCATTTATAACTCCAGTTCCAGGGGAATCCATTGCCCTCTTCTGGCCTCCTCTACTTTGTAGACAAAGATGAACATTTCATATATCTGACAATGTGTTGGTTAGAGATGCCTCAGGAACCTTCCACTCCATCCTAGTTTATAGCTCTGTCCATTAACCAGGTGAGCTTGGAATTTCTTTACTTCTCTCAACCTCAATCTCATCTTTGAAGTACAGAAATGAGTCCTGCCTATAGCACAAAGCTGTGTTGAGTTTTAAACATAATGATGTATAGGTTTTTGGTTAGGGTATGACATATCAGGTTCTTAATATATACGATCATCTACTGCACAATATTTTGGTCAATGTTGGACCACATATGACTGTAGTCCCTTAAGGCTAAATCATCTAGTGATGTCATAGCCAACGTAATTTGTCTAACTATACTCCAGATGAACTGTCTATGAAATTCTCAAAATGCATCATTGCCCTTACATAACCCATGATTGTTGGAGGCCTATCTTCCCCTTCTCTGTAAACTTATTTGGGGTCTAAGTTTCAAACAAGGGTGTTTGAAATCTTTCTTATGGGAACAGGACTGTGGATGAGGGTTTAGAGGTGACAGAGTCATGTGACAAATCCTGGTAAATCAAACTACAGAGACCAGCAACAGGGTGCAGATCTGAGTTTATTGCCCAGCACATAAACTTATATACAGTGTTTGTTCCAATCCCAAGCCCCAAAATCCTTGGCCAATCATATCTCACCACATCTCACCATGCCCCAATAAAAGCCGTTAATGATGAGGTAACTCAGAGAGAAGGGGGTGGGGGGAGCATCGTCACTTGCTGGGACTTCCACGAAGACTTGGAAGCAGTCACTGTCTTGGCCTCAGTTCCTTTTTGCTGTCTCACTGGTATTCCGGAAGCCATCTTAGATCTAATGCCATGTACGGCAGATCAGGACTCTTCGAGAAGTCCCAGGAGCCTGTGGCGCCTTACTCTCCATCTCACTTTTTCCTTCACAAGGTGTCTTCCACATCCCCGACACTCTCATCCTTAACATCCCAAAGCTCTTCGGACCGTGGTTAGAGCAAGTTTCTCTTAGTTCACTATATTGGTAAATCTTTACTTCTGATGTCATTTCCTCCCACTCCTCCCCTTTTTTATTTTCCTTTGTTAACAGAAAAAGGAATCATTTTTGTTCACGAGGCTCCTTTTTATCCCCTTCCACAAACTGCCAACTCCATCAAGTTAATATGTCGTCTCATATATCTCTAGTATAAAATATGAAATTAACTAAAAAGACTTATTTTCCTTCCTGTATGAATTTATCCTGAAAACCTGGAGTGTTGAAGTCTGGTAGATGCCACTATTAGCTAACTCCTGTAAAGCACACAAGCATTTCTAGCTAAAATGGTGAAAAGGCAGAGTAAGGGGCCAGCCAGAGCTAAGGAGTGGAAGCTAATCACAGGCTGACATTCCTCTGTACTGTCCCTTTTCTTTAGCATATTCAGCGATACTGGACTTGGAATGCGGTATTCTATTGCATCAGGCTTCTGGATGCTTTGCAACTCAGCAACAAGGAAACACAGGGCTGAGGAAGCTAAGCATGGTAGGTAGTTCGTTAGCACATATTTTCAAACACTGATTTTTTTAAGTCGCTCTTAATGAGAGGAAACAGAAACTGAAAACTTTAGGTCCAGCAATACAAAGTTCATTTTTTTAGTTCGATAAATAAAAATTAATAGCACAAAATTACTAAATGAGATTTTCACATTATTTGGGGGATTTCTGAATCAGGCACATTATCTTATATTTACAGCTCATGCACAGTTCAAAGCCAATCAGCCACACTGCAAGTACTTAACAACAGTAAACAACACGAAATCAGGATTCCAAATATGACTTCCGGGTATGCAAAGCCTGGTCAGGGTTTCAGGAAGTGACGTCACGTCGTGAAGCGTGCCGGGAGTCGTAGTTAGTGCCCACCGGCCAGTTGCACCCGATGGGAGTTGTAGGCTACCTGTGGAGCATACTGGGAGTCGTAGTCCGCGCGCGCTCTGGGTGTACTGGGCGCTTCATGGCCGTCGGCACTGCGCTTGCCTACTCTTCCGCTCGGCCCTAGAAAGTTTCGTTTCTGCCCAGCGGTGGACCCACGAGCTTGTAAGTGCCGCGGGCGCCCGAACAGACATCGGGGACACTGGGGCAGTTCTGGACGCCGGCGCCGAGGCTTCGTGGGGGCGTGGGTCGTCACCTGTTGCTCAGGCTGTCCCCTCCCACACAGGTCGCCTGCCGCTGCGGAGAACCCTCTCTCCAGAGAGGTTGGCTCCAATACTTAGGCTGTCTGTGGGGTCGTAGAAAGACCTTCAATACTGTTCCAAGATCAGAGCCGGCAGAGGAGGGGGGCCACCCTGTGGAACCTTATGGTGAAGCCGCCCTGTGAGGCGGAGCTTTGGCAGTACTCCACAAACCCCTGGCACAGGAGCCAAACCCAAAAGTTCTCGCGGGCATTGGGGCTTAGTTCCCAGAAAGCCCAAACCTCCTCTCTGCATGACTCCCGACGCCCCCTCGATCCAGGAAACACAGTTTGTTACTTTCTGTGTCTTCGCTGAATTTACCCACTGCCCCTGTGCTCAGATACTTCAAGGTAGCTCTGCGGTGAAGTTTCTGGGAACACCTGTAGGACAACTTAGTGTATATCTGGTGTGGTAGCTTGTCCTGTTGGCACCCAGACTTGGGCTGCGGGTGGGGGGCAGGACGGGGCGACATCCTATTTTCGTTAAAGAAGAGAACATGTGATTGACACTTAAGCCAAGTAGCTTCCTATGTGGCTTTAATGCTAAGATTCTTTGCGACGCTCTGCAGTGTTCCCACTGCTGTCTCCTGCAGAAAAACAGCACTTGTTTCTCTCTGTCCCTGTGCTTGACCACAGGTGGTTTCCTTTCCAGACAGAAATGGGTCAGGAGCTTTTCGGGGCAGAGGATCAGGACTTAATCTACCCAGAGCCTCTCTCAGCAGTGGTGGTCTGAAGCAGGTTAATTCCTCTGCCATCTGCTTGCTGCTGTTGCTGGATCGGGTGGAAGGAAGCTATAGGTTTCTTTCTGCTTTTAGTTTTGCAACCTTCTGGCTGTCCCTACCCTCTTGATCTGTGACAACCAGTTCTTCTGTGTTGAAATGCAGAATACTGATTATGGGCCAGGGTTGTTATCGTCCTGGAAATCAGCACAGGGACAACTGTCAGCCTCCTTTCACTAAAAGGATCTGAAAAAAAAATATAGCTTTTGGAGACAGAATTTATCTGTTTAGTGTTGATCTCTTTGCATCACTTCTTGAAAATTGTTTATTTTATTAAGAAAATAGATAAATGTGTACAAAGTCCTGCAGTGCCGTGTGTGTGTGTGCGTGCGTGCGTGCGTGTTCTTAATATTTTACTTTATTTTTTGTAATTGGTTTAGAACTTGGACATGGCCTCAGGTTCCTTTGCCCCTTAGGCAGCATGGCTAAGAGCCAAGTTTTAGCCCAGTCGTTTGGAGTGAGATAAAAGACACCACTTGTCATAGCAAAATCATCAGTAACATCTGGTGGCCTTGACTTATTGTTAGTCCTTGAGGCTGATGGCCTGCTGCCTCCAGAACACAAGAGTACTCAAGAAATGTCAGTCCTTAGTCCTAGCTTCCCTTTACAAGGAAGGGTTGGCTGACAGGTCATCTCCGATTTCTGGAGATTCCAAAAACAAGATACAACTTGAGACCGGTGTAGCAGTGTGAGCTGGAGGAAGCATGTTGACTCCCTATGATCTCATGCTGCGAACCACTGGGACCTCCAGAGTTAGGGGCCACATCTGCTACAAGCATTCCCCAGGCAGCAGAAAGGGTCGTCACTAGGGTTTGTAACCTCAGAGGTACCTGTAAGCAATGGTCGGTTGTTTGTGGCCATGTTAACATGTGATTACCTAAGTGGCTATTGTGTTCCTGCTTCTCTCAAGCAGCATTCGAACCCCAATTTGAGCGGTTATTGTGGGGTAGAAATTGGGGTGTTTCTGTGAGTTTACATGTGGAAAAACACTGTCTACTCTCTAGTTACTTTTGATGAACCACTAGAATTAACTAAGTGTCTGTACCATCCTAGGAGTGTAGTTCTGGCCGTGCTCAGTTGGACAAGAGGAATATTATCATCCACTTCCTGACTTTGGAGCCATTTAATTAGCCTGGTGGTTATAGCGGCCACCAACGGTCCTTTTTGTTCACAAGACTCTCTGGCATTTGAACAGCACCAAGGGTCCATTTTCCTTTGGTCCAGGTTGCAGTGTCAAGAAGAGGATATTTGCACTTTGTGTTTAAAGGAAAGCTGTAGGAGAGTCTGTGGTTTTGAATACCATACTGTGGCCTGGTGATTGGTTTCAGTACTTATGGATTGGATTAGTGGTTGGTTTCAGTATCAGTGGGCTGACCTAACCAACCAGTTGCCTGAGGTACTTACTATACCTTTGGCCTGAGGGCAGGACGTCACATTTGGGTTTTTTTTTTTTTTTTTTTTTTTTTGTTTTTTCGAGACAGGGTTTCTCTGTGTAGCCCTGGCTGTCCTGGAACTCACTCTGTAGACCAGGCTGGCCTGGAACTCAGAAATCCACCTGCCT